GACTGTTTGTTTCTTGTTCCTAGAAATGTTTTTAGTCCTCTTGTTTTTCTTTTTTTGCAACAGCTGCCGTGCTAACCTTGAAAGAAAAGTGCAGTTACAGTAATGTTATATGGCTCTTTCAGGCACAATGCGTCCTTTCAGGCTCCATGCTTTCACTAAGTAGGCATAGCAATGTCTCACATATGGACAATGACGTTGATTTTGAGATCTTTGCGACATTTTTGAATGAGTCGACAAAGCTTTCACATTAAAGCAAGTAGACCATTACCTCTGATAACTGATGCAGTGTGCAGTGTTGCACTGGGCACTGTGCAGGTTAGCAAGTATGTAAGTACATTCCACCAGTTTGCCAATACGTCTGTGCCTTCGGTGTCGGCTGTCACTGGCGTTATATCGTCAGCACCCCCGTCACTGACGTGACCATGTCTTTGCCACTGTCACTAATGTGATGCTGCCCATACCACCGTCACTGACGTGCTATTGTCGTTACCACCTTCACTTACATGATATTGTCGGTAAAATCGTCATTGACGTGATATTGTCTTTACCGCCGTCACTTACGTTGTGTTGCCCCCCCCCCTCCGGCAGCTCGGGGATAGCCGTGCCGCCGTTCAGCTTCAGCGGCTTCCTGGCCCAGCTGGAGGTCAATGACCTGACTGACCTGGCGCCCCCCGGGCCTCCTTCAGCGACCGATCAGCACACGGCTCCGGAGGTGGCCGCACCCGACCAGAAACCCAGCATACTTCGTAAGTAAGCACAGCATACTTCGCAAGCAAACGCAGCATACTTCGTAAGAAAATATAGCATACTTCGCACGTAAACACAGCATCCTTCGCACGTAAACACAACATCCGTCGCTAGTAAACGCAGTATACCTCGCTAGTAAACGCTGCATACTTCGTAAGTAAGCGCAGCATACTTCGTAAGCAAACGCAGCATACTTCGTAAGTAAACATAGCATACTTCGTAAATGAAAACTTGACAGACCCAACCGAAACCTTGGCGCACTTTGGAAGTGTTACGCTACTCAGGATTTCTTATACGATATAACGTGCGATATTTCCATGACTGAGCGGGCGCTAAAATTGATAAATGAATACATAATAGCCGTTTTCACGACGGGCTATCCGGCGAATGCACCTGATTTGACCAAATGTGCACCTAATTTCTTTTACAGCAAATATCTTCGTTTTATGAATTCATTTCAGTGTTTTAATCGATGATGCTCTCTGATAATATGACAAAGCAGGCATATAAGCAATTAGTGCAACCTAATTGCAACCTAAGCAATTAGCTGATAGCTGCTAAGAGACACACTGAACCTGATTTGACAAAATCTGCACCTAATCTGTACCAGATGTGCACCAAATATGTACCACATGGCCGTCGTAAAACGGCTATTGTTCCGTGCATCAGATAACACGTTTAACCCTCGCCCGCACATGCCATTTTCCCATCCTAGAACGCACATGGGGGTGGGGGGTGCAGGGGGGGGGTTGCCACCCCCGCGCCATTTCGTTCCTGTTGGAGATAGAGCTTAGCGGTAGAGACCAAAAAGATTCTTTGGGAAGAGACGAATCCAATGATACCCAGTTTTACCTTCTCAGGTCAGTCATTGACCTTCCAGGTCAGGTCAAACTAAAAAATGTTGCTGTTTTGGGTCACCGCTGGATATCAAGTGCGCTGCTTATCAAATACCGATGACGATGCTGTTTTCTGGTGCCAAGCCAGCTAGAACCTCTTTGTCACACTACCCGACCAGAATTTTGCTGCTGAGGTCATTTCAGGTCAAGTTAGGTCAAGGTCAATTATATGTGTTTGTATGTCTGTGTGTGTCTGTGTGTATACTGATGTGTGCACCGATTGTTTTTGGGTCCATAATACATGAAATCATGATCTGAGTAGCTTTTACCAAAAATGCAATCAAAAAACTTCACAAAAAGTAAATTCAGCTTGCCTAAAACGCAATTATCTTAGATGACCTAGGTTGACCTTGACCCTGACCTTGACCCCTGTACATCGTCGAACAACATGTTCCATGATAGGTCAGGGCCTCGGCTAACATGTTAACTGGTGGGCCAAATGGCCCACCAGTGACCCGAAATGGCCCACCAGCCTCAAAGATTTGGCCCACCAGTAATTTTTCGAAAAATCTAAGTTTTCACATTTCAAATTGAACTAGCAGATCTTATCGTACATTTTCAGGCTGTAAAGTACCCATCGGTGAAACATATTGTGAAAAAAACTTCAACCTATTGTTTGCAATATCCTCTTGGGGTAAAAAGTGGAAGAGCAGACCAGTTCAGACGGTCGGGGATAAGCCATCTGTATCTGTAAGAATCTTGGATAAGCCTGCGGGCGATCTCACACGGCTCGCCGATAGACACGATATAAGCCAGAGTCAAACTAGAGGTAGTATCGGCGACTTCCAGCCGATTGAAGTCTGCAAGTATGCGTCTTCACGACCAGTATGATGCTTGCAGTCACACATCTGACCAGTCGGACGAATTTCGAACCGTTCACAGTCAGCGTTCCAAAAAATTCTCATTTGGGCTGAAGATGACACTGAAGAATAAGAATGAATAATTTTCCACTCTCACATTTCGGGTGGCTAGAATTTTCCACTCAGACACCCAAGACAAATCTGAAGTTTGGGACACTGTTTAGTGTTCACCAGAAGTGTACATAACTTTTCTTTTTTAGAAAATATTAGGGTTGCGCAGTGCGCTTGGGCTTTTGAGTCAATTCTTTTCCATGCGACACCAATAGGCTTAATGATCATTTTCAGAGATGTTGGGGTTGCTGCTACAACCCTCTTTTGGGGTTCCTGCTACAACCCACTTTATATAGGTACATACATGTTACAACATACCCCACCCGGCTCTGATACAACATGTACCTCGCCGCCATCTTGGAAAAAATATCCTTGTGCTCAAAAACAGCGGACAGCTGGAGAAATCCATTTTCACTCACGCAGCCTTAGAACCCACCCTCACCACCGCTACGGAGATCTTTCAAATTCGTGCACATCTAAATGCCCAAAACACACATTTTCTTGCAACTTATTTTTTTAGAATGACATTTAAAAAACATAAAATCGGCTCTCACCTCGAGACGCGTCCATCCAGCCACACGACAGAACAGGGAAAGATGGCGCCCGGAAAACCTCGTCGGCTGGTCGTGTCACGAGCGCCATCTATTGGATAAGTTTGGCACAATTCGCCCTGATACAACTTGGACATGATACAACTCTCCCCGCTCTCCCCTACCAGTATAACGCCTTTTGGGGCGACTAACGGAGCGAGCGAGAGTGTGAGCCTTGCACGTGCGAAATTTCGACGGGATACCTCCAGCTGACTTGTGCACGGCATCCTACTAACCGGTCTCTAGCGATGTGCCAAATTTGAGCACAATCGGCTTAGCCGTTCTCGAGATCTGGAAGCGGCACCCTGCACGTGCGCACGTGCAAAATGGGTCCGAACTGACTTTTGCACGGCACCCTACTAACCGGTCCCTAACCATGTGCCAAATTTGAGCGCCATCGGTCCAGCCGTTCTCGAGATCTGGAATCGACCCCTGCACGTGCGCACGTGCAGCAGCACCCCAACTCTGGCACATGGATATGCATTGCCTAGTGGGTGCCTACCTACATGCCAACTTTCAGCGCAATCGACCAAGTACCTAGTTACCGAGATATTGCAACAATTACAATAGTGACTCCTCTTCGTTTTGCACGTGGCACGTGCATAAGGGGTCACCCACATGCTTCGGGAATAGTCCAATACTTGGTAGAAGGAATGAAGCTACCCTACAAAATTACCGCGTGTAAATCGGTCAAGTGGTTGCTGAGATATAAGCGTCGCAGAATCGTGACCACGGCCGGCCGGCCGGCCGGCCGCTCATATGTACTCAGAAATTTCCGTTAATCTAAGGAAAGACTACGCTCGCTTCGCTCGCTCCGTAATAAAGTTGCACTCGTGCTGTTCACAATGCCTCCCGATCCACCCGACAACGCCCGATCCCGTCCGACCGCTTCCGAATCTCCGACTAGTCGGCGAGCGATCCACTCAGGGCTCGCTGATTTTTAACATCCGACCGGCCGTAAGTTATCGTCCAAAGTTTGATAATCTGCGTCAATATTTTGTGCATACTTGTGCGATTTTATGTGCACTGCCGGAGTATCACCACTGAGAGGGTTGTGGGTCCCTACTCTCTCCTCTCTCTCTCCTCTCTCTGAAGAGTGGGGGGGTCGAGCCCCGTTTTTTTTTTTTACTTTTTAATGCCATCCTGACGTTTTTTTGCAGAATAAAGTGGTCGAAATCTGGGGAGAAATCGAAAATTGGGGGGGGGGGGGGGGGCTATGGCTACGAAGGTCAGTCCATGTCTCTGCCCAAGTGGCCCACCAGTCAAAATTCCTTAGCCGAGGCCCTGTGATAGGTGGGAGGTAAGACTGGCAAAAAAGGCCGAAATCAGGGTGTCAAAAGCTCACAAGGCCCATGACAAACGCAAGATGTTGAGAATTGGCCATTTGGGTCATGACATGACCTGAAAAACAAGGTCATATCTCCGAAACCAAAAATCACAGAAACTTGAAATTTTCAGCGAACATCAAGAAAGAATAGTCAAGCAGCTATACAAAAATCAGCTTTCTAGCTCTAAAAATGTTGAGTGCAGAGCAGAAAGACTACCTGGGGGATGGCAACCACCCCCCCCCCCCATGTGCGGGCGAGGGTTAACCCTCGCCGGACCTATTGGTTTTCTACATACGCGCCGGCCGAGGGGGGGGGGCGGGTACGACCCCCCCCCTCGCCGTTTCGCCCCTGGTGGAGCTAGCGCGTCGCGGAAAAAACGAGCGTGTGCGCCGTTACGAGACGCAGAGATTGGTACCCGATTTTAAGGTCCTAGGTCAACCGGTGACCTCTGAGGTCAGGTCAAGTGACCCAAGGTACGGTTCAGTTTTTGGTGAATAACTTCGCAAAAAACGGCCGCAGAGCGCCGATTTTGGCAGCATCGTGTTTGTCTCGCTCAGGCGCGTCGAATGATATACTTTTTGTCCGGGTCAGGTCAACTTGGGGTGTTGACCTCAGGTCAAGGTCAGGTCAGCACCCCCAGGTCACGAAGTTGGTCGGAAGAGGTCATGTCGCATATCATTCGATTCGGCAGGTCTTCCTGAGTCCATTGGTGGCTTTCCCGACTCGCTAGCTCAATTTGATCAAGAGTTATTGACGAAAAACTAATATGACCTTGATGACGTCATAAATGACGTCACGCAAGGTCAACATTGCAAAAATGACGCATCTAACCTTGCAAGGAGTGCATCAAATCACGAATCTGTGTGCTTGAGATAGTTGGAGATCGTTCCCGGCGCCAGAATAGCAGTTTTCATTTTTCCCCATTGACTTATAATGGTGAGGTCACGAAAATGACCTGACCTCATATGACCTTTAGGAAAAATCCGAGATATACAAGTTGTGGGACTCATAATGGATACTAGATCCTGCAAGTTTCATTTCCCTGTGACATCTCCTCTGGCAGTGAGGGCGTTGCGAAGTTGCGACATCTGAAGACCGTGCAGAGGTTCACTTATGACGTCATAGGTCAGTGACCTGACCTGACCCAAAAATGCGGTTGGTGTCAAAAGATCCGGCTTGGATCAAAGGTCAGGTATGCCAAGTTTCAGCTCTCTATCGCCAGCGTGTTCAGAGCTATCGCGAAAAAACCCTATGGGGGGGCGGCACCCGCCCCCCCCCCCCCTCGGCCGGCGAGGGTTAAAACTATTTTGGCTGTAGAGGGATGATTGCTGACTTACTGTGAAACCACTTCACTCGATTGTGTTTACTCCGAGTTACGAGTGAGCCGGAAGTGCTTTCAACTAAAAGGGAACCTATAGGATGTCATTTCGGGGAGTTGAATTAAGCTGCTTATAACAAATGGCGCCAAATCTGCTTTCGTCTGCTGCTAAGGTTTCGTCACGATCCACAACTTTTTACGCGAGTTATTCGCGAAACACCGGGGGGAGGGGGGAGGTGCGGGTCCGACCAATTCCGCTGTACATAAGTGCTAGGGTTGAAATAGCTAACTCTCCGACTATTCTTTGTCAATCCTAGGCAAAGTTTGGTGCTAATTTTGAAGTTATGCTTTCATGATAAAAGCATAACATTCAAAATCAAGTCAACGACCGAATTGAACAGATAACGTTACAACCCCTCGGCCTTAGAAGTTTCCTCGTGTATTACAGCTACTTTGCGATATGTTTAGTGAGTAATTTCTATTCAACTTTAGTTTTGCCAGCTGGAACTTGAAAGCCGTCTTTGCATCACAGTTCCACCTACAAGTTTGCCAATAAGAAGCAGAGAACACTTGGATCCGCTTGCATAAAGTCAATTTGTTTGAGAACTGATGTGTTTCTAATAATGAAGGATCGCTTTTACAAATGGCAAAGGTCCTCAGCTGCACCCAACCGAGGACAATGCTCGAGCCGGACTGTCTGACCCCTTCATCCACCACAATATGCATGCTGCAGACCACTGGTTTTGTTATTGGTTTTATATCGCACTTTCGTGATGGGCGGGGATTTTCAACGGGCAATGGAGCGTAAACACAATTTGTGATAGCGCGGCCTGGATTACTGCGTATGATAGCCTATTCAGGCATATTTTTCAGGCTATTTTTAACTTTAATCAACCCGCTGGCTTTCATTGGCTGCACACTGCAAACATGTGGACATAAATTAGGTCAAATAATGATGTGAAAAGCTTAGTCAATTGTTATGTTCACATTAGGCACATTTGCTTACATCCACACTAAAAATAACTAGTAATTCAAATATATTGAACTCAAAATTCTTGTAATCAAGTAGTGGGTCTTGTTCGCTGCACTAGCTTAACCCTCGCATGTGTAGGGGGGGGGGGGGGGTCGGATGGACCCCCCCCCCCATGGTTTTTCGC